CTCCTCCTCGTCCTCCCCACCCTGCCCCTCCCTCTGGTCCTCTACCTCGATAATTCTCGCCTGGCTTCTCCTCCTCTTCCTTCTCCCCTTGTCGCGACCTGTGGCACTTCTGGCCCAACGTAGGGTAAAACTACCGAGGGATGATTCTGATGAGGGTGATGGTGATGATGCTCATGCCGACGGCGATGGTGATGCGGCTGGTGTTAAATGTGGCGACGGTGAGGAGGACGAGGAGGAGCAGGAGGAGGAGGAGGAGCAGGAGGAGGCGGAGAAGGAGGAGGAGGAAGAAGAGTAGGTGAGGACGATGAGGATGATGAGGAAGTCGGGTGAGGGAGCATGACGACCTGACTGCTGGGGCGGCGGAGTCGCAGGAGGTAGGAGGCGGTAGCGGAGGAGGCGGAGGAGGAGGAGGCGGAGGAGGAGGAGGAGGAGGATCAGGACGGAGGAGGAGCAGGCGGCGGAAGCGGAGGGGGAGCTGAAAGAGGGATCGAGCGGAATGAGGAAGGAGAGGATGAAACAAGTGGAGATGATCATGCCGGATTCTGCTGGCCCAGCAGCTGCGTTGTTCCCCGCTCCGACCCACGGCGGCGACTGGGGCCTCTCTGTTGCCCCAGGCCGTTCCTGGGCGACGCGGCGTGGCCTTTCGTAGCTGCCGCCCGAGGCGCGGTGCCTACACGAGCCCGCCTCGCACGATGGCTGGCGGCACTGGGCCCCCAGGCATCCCCTCGGTGTGCTTCTTGTGCTTCTCCGCTGCCTGTCCGCTGCCTTCCCCAGACGACTTGCCCATCGGTGCCCCCGAGTAGCGCGACGCTGGTGCGGATCGCCCCCGCCTCGCCGCCGACGAAGAACGTTCTTGTGCGCCATCGCGGCGTGCCTTGACCGCCTTCGCAGCTACCCTGGTCCAGCCCGGGCCGGGGTTGTCGGGCCAGGCCATGCCTCGCCGCCGCCCCTCCACACCCAGCCGCGCATCGCAGGGTAGCCCCCCCCTGGCAGCAAGAGGGCCCGCGGCCGTCGGCCACTGGCAGGCTCCTCGCACGAGCTGGCCTCGGCACTGTGGCAGACCCCTGCAGAGTCGGAAGGTCCTCTCTCGAGACCGCCTGTCCAGCAGCGCCATCGCTGCCACCGCCTTCGCCGCGGCGAGCCGATCCATGCACTGCAGCTGGCGGTCTTCTCCCGCGCGCCCTGCTAGCACTGACGGCACCCCTGCCGCCTCTGCCCGCCTTTCGCTCGAGCTGGTTCCTGCTCCGGCGGATCGGCCGCTCCCGCGGTCGCCTCCCTTGCACTGCAGGATGCTTCCGCCGCCCGTCTGCTTTCACGAGGTCCCAGGGTGTTGTTATCGGCTGGTGGTCTACCCCCGCGCTCGCCCTGCTCCTCACGAGTTGACCCCTGCTTTGAGATACTTCTCCCACCAGCGTCCTTCGTGCAGCGCCCTCTGCTGCCTCTGCCTTCCTTCTCGGACGAGCTGTACCCTGCACAGTTGCCGCCGACCATCTTCTATCCTACGAGCCCCATTGACACTGAAGGCCCCCGCTCCTGCTACCTCCCTGTTCGCACGAGCTGTCCCCCCCAGTGCAGCTTGATGATTCGCTTCCACGGCCGCCCTTCGTGCAGTGGTAGCTGCTACCACTGCCTGCCTTCCTGCATGGGCTTGTCCCAGCGTTGGAGCTGATCCTTCCCCCCCGCTCGCCTGCTGTCGCCGATATCGGTGGGGTTGGCTGCGTCCCGTTGCGTGCAGCCACTCCTCGCCTTCTTGCGTCTGCCCCTACCTGCTTGCTCGCACACGGTGGTCTCTGCCTGCTGCCATAGGGTCCGAGCGCCTGTAGTTGATGACGGGTGGCTTTTTGGCATGCCCTCGGGCATCGCCTGGTCAAAGGCGTGGTTACTGGTGACGGTGGGCTTCCCCGCGTCCTTCGCTCCATCGCTGTAGCCAATGATGATACGAAAACCTATGCGATACCGTTGGGTTCCCGCTTCGATGTGTAGCGAGAGCTGGGGGCGGACTCCAGTGGCTGTCTTGAGCTCGCACTGGAGGGACGGCTCGTAGGTCACTTGATGGCGGGGAGGGGAGAACGAGGGGGCCAGAGGAGGGGCGAAGGCGGGGGGGGAGGGCGCCAGCCATATCTACGTGCCCGTGTGGTGTCGCCCAGTCCACGCGTTGTAGCTGATGACGTCGGCAGGAGGGGAGGAGGAGGAGGAGGAGGAGGAGGAGGAGGAGGTGGAGGAGGAGGAGGAGGAGGAGGAGGATGATGATGAGAGGAGGAGAGGGAGGAGGAGGAGGAGGAGGAGGAGGAGGAGGAGGAGGAGGAGGAGGAGGAGGAGGAGGAGCATGATGATGATGATGATGATGATGATGATGATGATGATGATGATGATTGATGATGATGATGATGATGATTGATGATGATGATGATGCTGATGCTGATGCTGATGCTGATGCTGATGCTGATGATGATGATGATGATGATGAGGAGGAGGAGGAGGAGGAGGAGGAGAAGGAGAGGAGTAGGAGTCGGAGCAGGACCAGGAGCAGGAGTAGGAGCAGGCCCAGGAGGGGCAGGAGCCAGAGGGGGCGCAGAAGCCCGTGGCAGCAGCAGCGGCGAGCGGTCGGTGGTGCGCGCCCCCCCCCCGCCCTCTGCCCGTGCGGCGCGCCGCAGGAACACGCTCACGATGCAGGAGACGCGCTTTATTCGCACGGCCCTGGCGGTGGGGCTCGCTGCGTCCGTCATGGAGGCGGCGCGCGCGCCGGCGCGCGCCGCGAGGCCAGGCCCAGAGCCCCTCGCGTCCTGAAGCAAGACGCTGATGACGTCTTCTATTTCCTCCTCCTCCTCCTCCTCCTCCTCCTCGTCCTCCGCCTCCGCCTTCGCCTCCGCCTCCGCCTCCGCGTCCGCCTCCGCCTCCCCCTCCTCCTCTCCTCCCCACCTCCTCCTCTCCCATCCTCCTCCTCCTCCTCCTCCTCCTTCTCCTCCTCCCCCCCCCCTCCTCCTTTCTGTACCTTCCCTGTCCTGCTCCTTTGCAGGACCCCGGAGGCCCCTCGCCGGGCCGCCTGGGATGTCACACAAGTACTCGGGATGAAGAGCGGCTCCCGGGGAACGCGTCCAGACTTCCGGGGAGGTTCGACGTTGTGAAGAATCACGACGTCTGGGGCTGGGACTCCTCCTCCTCCTCCTCCTCCTCCTCCCTTTCCTCCTCCTCCTCCTCCTCCTCCTCCTCATCATCACCAACATGTCTCCCTCATGCCTCCACCTCCACCGGGGCCTGGGCAAAACGCAGCGGGACCACGGCGCCAAGTCCCAACGGGCGTTTCGGGTCCAGCCGTCGAGAGAGCTCTTTGGGCCCGCGCCCTTTCGCAGGCAGTGCGTCAGGGGGTCGGGATGATGATAACAACACATGCTGCTGCTGCTTCTGCTGCTTCTGCTGCTGCTGCTGGTGATGATGATAAGGCTGATGATTATGCTGATGCTGATGATGCTGATGATGCTGATTATGATGCTGAGGATGAGGATGCATATGAGGACAAAGACGAGGAGGCGGACGAGGATCAGGATGATGACGATGATGATGATGGTGATCATGCTCATGATTATGATGAATAAGATATGGCGATGATGACGATGATGAATTATCACATACAGGCGGTGTTATTTAACGGTGATTATGCTGATGCTGCTGCTGATGATGATAATGGCGATGATGATGCTGATGCTGATGCTGATGATGATGCTGATGACGATGATGCTGATGATGATGATGATGATGACCACGGTGATTACGAATATTCTGATGATGCCGATGATGTTGATGAAGATTGTGATGAGTATGCTGATTATGATGGTGCTGATGCTGCTGCTGATGCTGCTGACGATTGTGATGCTGTTGACAACGAATGATCCTGATGATGATGATGATAATATTGATGATGGTGTTTATGATGATGCAGCTGCTGACGTTGACGATGATGATGATGATGATGATCACGATGATGATGATGATGATGCTGATGATGATGATGATGGTGATGATGACGCTGATGATGATGATGATGATGATGATGATGACGATGGTGATTATGCTGCTTCTGCTGATGCTGATGCTGCTGATGCTGATTCTGACGCCAGTGCCGATGCTGATGATGATGATGATGATGATGATGATGAGGATGCTGCAATGACCATGAGGTTGATGATGCGGACGATGATGTCGAGGATGTGACTGGTGATCATGATGATGAAGATTCTGACGAGGCTGATGATGCTGCTGTTGGTGATGATGATGATGCTGATGAGGATGGTACTGACGCCGGCGCTGACGATGACGATGACGATGCTAATGATGATGACGATGATGATGCTGATGATGATGCTTTTGATGATGCTGCTGATGATGCTATTGATGATGATGATGCTGCTGATGATGATGATGATGCTGGTGATGATGATGATGATGATGATGATGCTGATGCCGATGATGATGATGATGCTGATGATGATGATGGTGATGGCGATGATACTGATTATGCTTGTGCTGCTGATGGTGATGACGATACGCATGATGGTGATGGTGATGCTGACGATGATGATGCTGATACTGATATTTTTCATGATGCTGGTGTTCATGATAATGATGATGCTGCTGGTGAGGATGATGATGATGATGATGATGATGATGATGCTGATGATGATGATGATGATGATGATGATGATGCTGATGCAGACGATTCTTATTGTGGTGGTGGTTGTGGTGATGGTGGTGATGACGATACGTATGATGGAGATGGCGATGATGCTGATGATGCTGCTGCGAATGCTGATGCTGACGATGCTAATGACGATGCTGCTGCTGCAGCTGCTGCTGCTGCTGATGATGATGATGGTTCGGAGTAGAAGGAGGAGGATGAGGAGGAGGAGGAGGAGGAGGAGGGGGAGGAGTAGGAGGTGGAGGAGGACGAGGTGTATGAGGAGGACGACATTCGCCTTCATCGTCTTAGGAAGCCCGCCGCAGGTTACGTTAGCTTGTGGTGGGCCTGGGTGAATTGAGCACATGTAGACTGTACTCTCTCCTTGCTTGCCCCGTAGAGGCACTTTGCCGGCCAGGGAGCTAAGGTATTCTGATGATGATGTTGTTGATGCTGATTGTGACCAGGATGATGATGATGATGATGATGATGATGATGATGATGATGATGATGATGATGATGATGATGATGAGGATGAGGAGGAGGAGGAGGAGGAGGAGGAGGAGGAGGAGGAGGAGTTGGGGGAGGAAAGGAAACATTAGGAGTAGAAGGCTGATAATTATGATGATGATGGGTCTTACTAATTCCTCCATCTCCTCCTCTTCGTCCTCCTCGTAGTCATTGTTGTCTGCTCTCCCTCCTGCTGCGGCTCTCCCTCCTTCTCCTCAGACACAAAATGAGGTGCTCCGTCTGGCCATGCACTGGCTCCTCATTGCAGGCTTTCCAACATTGTTTTGGCCCTTGGGAGGTCCCTCGTCGCCACGGAGAACGTCTGGAGGTCAGGAGAAATTGATTTCAGCAGATGCTTGCCAGGCCACTTGGGAAAGACGTCGGCGGATGTTTCCATAGCCATGTGGATCCACTCATGTTTTGCTTTCGTTGATGTGGCACGTGCATGTTTGAGATAGCGGCAGCATTCAGTCATATAGGGTCCAACGCTATCCCTCTAAAGGTGATGCTCGTCTCACTTGTAGCAAGCATTTCCGTTCACACACACACACACCTTTTTTCGTTTTCCTCACAGGCGAGAGGCGGTTAACATTTCACCGCTATCGCCCGAGGAGCCCCGAGAGAGGGTGGGGTGGGGAGGGGGCGCACGCGACCAGGATGGGAAAGCCCAAGCACATCACACGTTTCTCACCAGACAGCATCAGGCATCATGCCATTCCACGGCGTGGCGAGGGGATCGGTGGCTGAGTGTGGCACCCTGGGATGCTTCCTGAGAGTGCGGGTGGAAGCGGCGTGCTGACGCTGCAAAGGACGACGACCTCTGCATGCGACAGGAACGGTGCCCGCTGCAAGTGACAAGAGCTCGGGCGAGCGACACCTGGCCGCCTCACTGCAAAGAGGGGCCGTGGATTCTCGGGCTCCCCCTGGCCGTCTCCGCCGTGCGGTCTGCAGACCACTTGCCCCCTCCTCTTCTTCTCCCCATACCCCTCCCCCCTCGCCCCTCCCCCGTCCCCCTCCGTTCCCAGCCCGTTCTTCCAGCCCCTTCCCCTCCCCCAGTTTCCCCCTTTCTCATCCCCTCTCCCCCCCTCCCCCTCTTCTTCTCTTCCCCCTTCCCTCCTCTCACCCCCCATCCTCCCTCTCCGCCCCCTCCCCCCTCCCCCTCTCCGCTCCCGCTCTCTCCCTCCTCCACTTCCCAGTATGCCCTCCCCTCCCCTGTTCCTGGCGCCCCCCCTTTCCTATTCCCTCCCCTCCCGCCCCCTCCTCCTCCCACCCCACTCCCTCTCCTGAAGATCCACTCCCGGACGCGTCCTGCGGCGGCACCCGGGCAAGGATCTCGACGCGAGTCCGGCCGCGGCATCGAGGGCCCAACCGAGTCCCGACAGAGTCAGAGCGGCGCGAGAACCCTCCTTATATCCGCTTCCACTTACTCCTCGATCCTCCTTGATCTTCGAACCTCGACTTTCCACCCTCGATCCCCCGACTTCCGAGCCTCCTCGGTCCTTCTCGATTCCCCTTGGACCATTCTCGATCCTCTTCGATCCTTCTCCATCCCCCTCGCCCCTCGATCCTTGATCTTCCCCCGCTCTCCTCGATCCCTCCTCGAGCCCCGATCCTTCTCGCGATCCTCCCCGAGGTGCTCCCGAAGGAGACGCGGCAGGGCCTCGCGGTCGGAGCCGAGCTGCCCGAGGGCATCCTCACACTGGCCAGGGGGATGGAGAGGGGCAAGGCGGGGGCCTGTGCTGCTCCCAGTGGCTGCCTGGGGAGTGTTCACGGGGCCTGGGGCAGTGCTGCGGCAGGAGGAGGAGGAGTAGGGGGCGGAGGGGGAGGAGGAGGGGGAGGAGGGGGAGAAGGAGGAGGAGGAGGAGGGAGGAGGAGGAGGAGGAGGAGGAGGAGGAGGCGCAGGAGGAGGAGGAGGAGGCGGAGGAGGAGGAGGAGGCTGATTAAAGCTGATTAAAAGCATGGAGCGAGCTCCATCGCATCCAGCGAAACTCAATAAACAATTATTTAGTTTGGTACTGCCTGTTACCGCACGGCGAGTCCTAAAAAGTTACGGGGAGCCCGAGAGTCCCCCGAGAAGGAGAAGGAAACGGAGGAGGAGGAGGAGGAGGAGGAGGGAGAGGAGGAGGAGGAGGGGGAGGAGGAGGAGGATGAGGTGGAGGAGGCGGAGGAGGAAGAGGAGGAGGAGGAGGAGGAGGACGGGGGAGGAAGGAGGAGGAGGGGGAGGAGGAGGAGGAGGAGGAGGAGGAGGAGGAGGAGGAGGAGGCGGAGGAGGAGTTGGAGGAGGAGGAGGAGGAGGAGGACAGGAGGAGGAGGAGGAG